GAAGTTTTTTCTGTGTCCATTCTCAACATTTGTGTGTATTGGACGCACATTTGCATGTCAATGTTAAACCCTGCCTACACATTATAACATATGCCTTGGCCATGAATTGGCTTAATGAAGAAATTATCCAGCTTATGCAAATCCTTCTAGATTATAATAAGGTAATGATGAAGTATTTTTTTCATTTAGGAATCTATTAGTTTAGCTATGTATGAATATGTGGTAAGTATTGATGGGTTTATTCCAACAGCTCCAGATTTTCATGTTTACATTTCACAACTTTTAATTTAACAATCGAGCATTGACCATGATTTCATAGAGCATCATTCCGCTCTTGCTCAGAAGTTGTTTGATCAAGGTTACAACATTCAAGGCCTCAGTAAAGCTTTGAAAAAGTTTTATGGTAGACATGTGGAGGGCATTCCGAAATTTGATGCATCAGTGACGAAAATGAATACCCTTTGACTTGTACCATACATTACCGAGTTATTTAGGGTGAACAATTGACTAGACTTAGCATGTGTTTATGACGAGTGTCACCAATGGGGCAGGATACGCTTCACCTTTTCGCAAACACCTGGTATCATTGCTATTTCATAGTGATTCATAAACACATGCACTGTCGTCGTATCGCATGGTGACAATCACTGGATTGTCTGGTCCAGACTCGATTTGTTTACAAACAACATCATACAGCTGTAATTCTGCTGAAACAAATATATCCTCATGATATGCTCACAATTATACAATCGACTCTGCCTTTAGTAGTGATTTCTTATGGATGTGGAAAGGGTTTAGTCGCTATTATTTAATTACCCACATCTGTGAGTGAGGAAGTGAGTTTAGTTTTATGCCGCACTCAGCAATATTCCAGCTATATGGCGGCGCTCTGTAAATAATCGAATCTGGACCAGACAATCCAGTGATCAACAGCATGAGCATCGATCTGCGCAGTTGGGAGCCGATGACATGTGTCAACCAAGTCAGCAAGCCTGACCACCCGTTACCGTTAGTCGCCTCTTACGACAAGCATGGGATACTGAAGATCAATATTGTAACCCGGATCTTCATAGGTTCCCACATCTGTATGTTATTCACGGTGTATGTTTGTTTACAGATGGTCCGGTTAGCGTACAGGACCCCGTAGACATTATGAGTTCACAAGATGGCGGAGGGCACACAGAAGCCAAGACGGTATCCTCATACAATCAACACTCTTCCTCAGCCAATCAGCATCAAGCCTCATCTCATGCATCATCCAATCACAGTCATGCAGCAGCAGCCAATGAAAGCCAAGCACAGTCACAGGTAAGACAGCTCATTGTTTTTTCAAATAAGGATTTGTTCAGCAATTCAGCAAGAATCCAGTTGTATTATTGTGGAGTCATCCCACAGATGATATCCTTACCTTGTCAGCTTGCTGAAAGGGTTAACCTCCTTGGTCTCATGGACAAGGCATCAGACTTTGGATCAGAAGTTCCACGGTTCGAATCCCAGCACAGGACTCAGAAATTTTATGGGCTCTTCATTGGCGCCCAATGTTCATGAGCATGTTCATATCAAATTGAACAAAACAAGCCTACAGTACCCTGCTATGCGGCCCTGGATGTGTTTTCTGTTGACAGGGGAGTATGTAGCAGGGCGTGGAGTCATCCCACAGATGACATCCTTACCTTGTCAGCTTGCTGAAAGGGTTAACCTCCTTGGTCATGTGGACAAGGCGTCCGACTTCGGATCAGGTCCGTGGTTCGAATCACACCACAGGAATCGGAAATATTGTTCCCGGAATATTAAAGATGTCTCTGATTGTATATAATCTTGATAGAAACAAACAATTCTTTTAAAATTGAAAAGGAGCCCCAGTGAGATGGGCTTGAACCTGAGGAAATCTAGACTTACTTCATTTACGGCTTGAGCATCACAGAAAGGGGTGCATGGATTGAAAAGTAATGCAGTTCACGGACTGTGAGACTGTGAGACTATACAACATCAAGTGATTGATGTTATGACTGACTGACTGAGTTTGGTTTTATTCCGCTTTTAGCAATATTCCAGCAACATCACGGCAGGGGACACAAGAAATTGGCTTCACACATTGTAACCATGTGGGGATTCGAACCCGGGTCTTCGGCGTGACGAGCCAACGCTTTAACCACTAGGCTACCCCACCGCCCGATTGATGTTATGAACGAGCCATACTGTTAGGGTACAATAGGGGCGGTGGGGTAGCCCAATGGTTAAAGCATTGGCTTGTCACGCAGAAGACCCGGGGCTCAAATCCCCACATGGGTACAATGTGTGAAGCCCATTTCCGGTGTACCCCGCCGTGATATTGCTGGAATATTGCTGAAAACGGCATAAAACCAAACTCAGTCAGTCAGTCAGTCACTTAGAGTAAACGTGACGTTACATGAAAGCTCGGCAGTGGGGTAACGCAAGGGTTAAAGTGTTGGCTCGTCACGACGAAGACATGGGTTTGATTCCCCACATGGGTACAATGTGTGAAGCCCATTTCTGGTTTTCCCTGTCATGATATTGCTGGAATATTGCTAAAAGTGACATAAAACCGCACTCTCTCACTCACTCATCAAAGCTTGAGACAACACTTGTACAGTAAACTATGGTACCATTTTAGGTTAATGGCGCCGTTGTGGAAGACAGAAAGAACCTGCGGAACCTGCCGATTGAGGAGGTGATAGAGAAATGCAAGGGCATCGTGGGGGAGCTGGGCAAGCTGGAGGAGTACCACCGCGGGGAGGGGATGCGGCTCCAGAAGATGCTCGGGGACTTCTACTGGGACTACACTTTACAGAGGAGGGAGATTGGAGATGCCATAGCAGAGGCTGGATATGCTGGTAGGTAGAGATGGATATGCTGGTAGGTAGAGATGGATATGCTGGTAGGTAGAAGTGGATATGCTGGTAGGTAGAGATAGATATGCTGGTAGGTAGAAGTGGATATGCTGGTTGGTAGAAGTGGATATGCTGGTAGGTAGAGATGGATATGCTGGTAGGTAGAGATGGATATGCTGGTTGGTAGAAGTGGATATGCTGGTAGGTAGAGATGGATATGCTGGTAGGTAAAGCTAGATATACTGGTAGGTAGAGATGGATATGCTGGTAGGTAGAGATGGATATGCTGGTAGGTAGAAGAGGATACGCAGGTAGGGAAAAGTGGATATGCAGGTAGGTAAAGGATGATATGCAGGTAGAGAAACGTGGATATGCAGGTAGGTACAGATGGATATGCAGGTAGGTAGAAGAGGATATGCAGGTAGGTAGAGAGGATATGCAGGTAGGTAGAGGAGGATATGCAGGTAGGTAGAGGAGGATGTGCAGGTAGGGAAAAGGGGATATACAGGTAGGTAAAGGATGATATGCAGGTAGAGAAACGTGGATATGCAGGTAGGTACAGATGGGTATGCAGGTAGGTAGAAGAGGATATGCAGGTAGGGAAAAGTGGATATACAGGTAGGGAAAAGTGGATATGCAGGTGGGAAAAGTGGATTTGCAGGTAGGTAAAGGATGATATGCAGGTAGAGAAACGTGGATATGCAGGTAGGTACAGATGGATATGCAGGTAGGTAGAAGAGGATATGCAGGTAGGGAAAAGTGGATATACAGGTAGGGAAAAGTGGATATGCAGGTAGGGAAAAGTGGATTTGCAGGTAGGTAAAGGATGATATGCAGGTAGAGAAACGTGGATATGCAGGTAGGTACAGATGGATATGCAGGTAGGTAGAAGAGGATATGCAGGTAGGGAAAAGTGGATATACAGTAGGGGAAAAGTGGATATACAGGTAGGGAAAACAGGAAATGCAGGTAGGGAAAAGTGGATATGCAGGCAGGTAGAGGAGGATATGCAGGTAGGTAGAGAGGATATGCAGGTAGGTAGAGAGGATATGCAGGTAGGTAGAGGAGGATGTGCAGGTAGGTAGAGAGGATATGCAGGTAGGTAGAGGAGGATGTGCAGGTAGGTAGAGAGGATATGCAGGTAGGTAGAGAGGATATGCAGGTAGGGAGAGGATATGCAGGTAGGTAGAGAGGATATGCAGGTAGGTAGAGAGGATATGCAGGTAGGTAGAGAGGATATGCAGGTAGGAAGAGAGGATATGCAGGTAGGAAGAGGAGGATATGCAGGTAGGTAGAGAGGATATGCAGGTAGGTAGAGAGGATATGCAGGTAGGTAGAGGAGGATATGCAGGTAGGTAGAGAGGATATACAGGTAGGTAGAGGAGGATGTGCAGGTAGGGAAAAGTGGATATGCTGTTGGTGGTAACATGACAGATGCACAATAGATGAACCAGTGCTATATGTTAACAACTGGTAAAGTTAGAATATGCTGGCTAGGCAAGTCAATATTTGTTCAAAACCATAGTCCTGATTATCTTAATAGACCTGATTATCTTAATAGTAACAACAAGTTTGTGTTCTACAGAAATCACAATCAAGATGCTGAAAAGCCTGAACACCATTGGTATCTTCAAGAACGACGACGTCTGGTTCCCCGCCTACTACACCTACAACACAACGTGGAACTACTCCGACACGAGTGACAACCTCGCCAAGGTAGGGGTAACATCCAGAGGGGGTGCATAGTGGGCTCGCAATGTATCATTTGTATAGCGCCAATATCCAGCTCAGTTTTGATTTTGCCCCCTCAATCATTGGATGTCAAACTTAAATGGCACATCGTGTTAGCAATCTCAACTCCCTGGGCATCATTAAACTCTTGCAGCCACTAGACGCACTGTGTTAATATTTCTTTCCCATCCTTACAAGGTACCCATTCACAGCTGGGTGGACAGGGACCATAGTCACAGTATTTTGTCCAAGTTAACTTCACGTTGCTGTACCCACAACTAGGTGTTTGCACGTATTCATGTGGCCACCATCTGATCATTTACCAACGGATTCGTGGGTTCTTTTAAGTGCACAGTGTTGTGTACTGTACACTAGGGGTTGTGACAACACTGAAAGAGTCTGCATGTAAAGTTGACTCCAAGGTTTTTACACCCGGTCACAGGTGGGCTCGATCCCGGCACCTCAAGCTCGCTGGATCACTAGCCTGGCACCTTAGGCAGCTCACCCACCACTGTTAGCTCGAATTAGTGCAAGCACTTGTATGGCGCTGAACTCAACCTAACACGGACATGCTCTAAGCGCATACAACATGATGGGCATTATTATCCCAGATGACCCAAGCTGCTTGTGAGGTGCAAGAAGGTTAACAGTCATATGACTTACCCCACCGGGTACCCATACACTGCTGGGTGAACAGAGGCAATTCTTGAATAAACTCACATGTCTTGGGCAAGACCACATATGTCATGTGTGCTTCGTTGTGGGGCAGGACTGAAGTCCTAGAAATTCTCAGGAGTCAAGCTGCCAAACAAGGTCACCCATCCAAGGACTATGGGTGACCAGTGTTGCTTAAAGGCACAATGTCACGCTTTTTCGACAATATTTTTGCCTATATTTTATAAATTGGGGCATATGCACTCACTTTAGCTTCCTATTGATGCAATAAAAGACTTATTATACCTTACAACTTGCCTGAAATCGATAATTGAAATTTCAAGGCGAACAGCTTCCAAACAGAAACACTTGCCATATATGGAATGTAAATGTTTGCTCTGTACATTGGAAACTGTCGCACATGGTGTTGTCGGTGTTTACCTAACTGGTTTCAATCACAAGTTGTGCATAGGATAGTTGTAAAGAGCTCCAAGGGACATAACTCTATGGGGTTCGCTTGAAATAATGTTCGGCCTGTAGAGGGCGCAAGAGCTGATTTAATGCAACGTTGCATTAATTCAGTCGAACATTTGAATTTAATATAGTAATCTAAATATGTAAAAAAAAAATGAATAAATTATATGGTAGATTCCCTGAGGGCTGATAGTTAGTATTATTGAGAGAAATGCATTATGAATTTTTAGAGAAATGTGGTGTGACATTGTGCGTTTAAGTACAATTGATTTGTGACCTGGGCTCAATGCACAGGACCACACACCACCAAGACAATCTCTCTTTTTAATTGTTTGAAATATTTGTTTTCTCAACATTTGTTTTCTGGTCATGAATGTACTTCTCACATGAAGATATTGGATTTCTGTAAAAAGGGGAGGCCCAGATGGGTGATTGGTTAAAAATAGATATGATAAACTGTGATTTGTAACAGAGGCATGTACTCTGCTCAGGGGTGGATACAGCTTTTTGAGATGGGGGGGATGCACAGTCCATCTACACCCTTTCCCTTTTTTTTTCTCTCTCTCTCTCTCTCTCTCTCTCTCTCTCTCTCTCTCTCTCTCTCTCTCTCTCTCTCTCTCTCTCTCTCTCTCTCTCTCTCTCTCTCTCTATCTATCTCTCTATCCCTCTCTCTCTCTATCTATCTATCTGTCACACTACGGGCAATAATCCTGCGTACGCGTACACGCATAAAAAATCAAAAGACACACACACATACATGCACACACATGCACACGCACAGTAAGATGTACACAGACACACAGGCACATGCCTACACACAGACAGCAATAACTATGTAATCATTATGTGATTTATGTTTCAGAATTTAGCTGAGGCCGATGCAGTCCGCCTCCTGTCACTCAACTGTAGTCACAAGCCTTACATTACAAACATACACAGCAAGGTGAGAGCTGGTGGAGCATTGGGTGAGACTGATCATTGACAGACAGATGATGTGCTGATTCTACACGTTTAGCAGATGAAGAGTGTGTTTGAACATAATCAGGGTCCGATTTCAGTTTGTTTTCAGAACCTGCACCAAGTGCAACCTTATAGGCTTGGTTGCACCATCACCATTTTGGTTGCACCATCAAATAATGTCCCTGGTTCTAGAGGTAACATAAAATACTTGTTTAGCAATTTTCATAACAAGTACTCAGTATCAGATTGTAGAAGGTGTGAAGTCATCCCACAGATGACATCCTTACCTTGTCAGCTTGCTGACGGGGTTAACTCTTTGGTCATGTGGACAAGGCGTCCGACTTCTGATCAGAAAGTCTGTGGTTCGAATCCCAGCACGGGACTCAGAAATTTTATGGCCGCTACATTGGCGCCCAATGTGGGGCTGAGCACGTTCATATCAAATTTGAGCAAAATAAGCCTCAGTACCCAACTATGTGGCTCGGGACGTTCCTTCTGTTGACGGGGGAGTATGTAGCAGGGCATGGAGTCATCCCACAGATGACATCCTTACCTTGTCAGCTTGCTGACAGGGTTAACCTCTTTGGTCTCCGACTTTCAGAAAGTCATGTTGGACAAGCACGGCGTCCGACTTCTGATCTGAGCTGCGTCCAAATTTGAGAATAAGCCTCAGTACCCAACTATGCGGTTTCGGGGCGTGCCTTCTGGGACGAGGGAGTATGTAGCAGTTCATCCCACGCTTACCTTTCAGCTTGCTGGCGGGGTTAACTTCTCTTTGGTCATGTGGACAAAGGCTGAGCTGAGCAACCCATGCTTGTCGTAAGAGGTGACTAAGCTGAGCAACATGGATAAGAGGTGACTAACGGGATCGGGTGGTCAGGCTTGCTGATAGGGTTGGGTATTGCAGAGAATTTTCATATTGCGATATATTGCGATGCGAAAGCATGTATTGCGATATGTATTGCAATATATTGCACGAAGTATTTTGAAACAAAAACTACTTATAATCGAGTTACTTCTTGATTTATAGAGCAAAAACACAACAAAATCACTAGGCTTGATTAAGCTTTAATAACAAGTTTTAATCATGATAAAATAAAAATGTGAACAATATTTGGCACAAATGAAACAAGGACATATCCGAACATTTCCGATTGTTACGAAGTTTTCCGAATGCAAGTCAAAATACCGGTTTTCGATCAGCATATTGCAATACATATCGTTTTCATGTCTGAACTGGTAAATACCGGTAAACCGGTTATATTGCGCAGCCCTACTTGCTGACTTGGTTAACACATGTCATCATATCCCAATTGCGTAGATCGATGCTCATAATGTTGATCACTGGATTATCTGGTCCTGACTCGATTATTTACAGGCCGCCACCATGTAGCTGGAATATTGTTGAGTGCAGCATTAAACAAGAAACAAACATTTCACCACAAACATACTAAAAAGTAGTGAAAGAGTTATTATTACAAGTATGTACAGGTATGTCTTCCATTATCAAAGTGAGCCTTGGTTGATGTAGATCTATGCTTCTGATGTTAGTCACTGGATTGTCTGGTCCAGATTCAGTTACTTGCAGACCACCATCATATAGTGGGAATATGGAGTGGGGGGTAACAGGAGTTGTCTCCCTTCATATCCTAACATTGTGTTTCTGCTTGTGAAGGGAAAATTGTGTGGTTATCTAAACTATAATATGATTCTTTTTGAAAATACATATACAATGAAACCTAATTATTTCAAATCTCAGTAAACTGTAAAGATCATGGTCCGGATAGGTCTACAGCAACCCATGCTTGTTGTAAGGGGCGACTAACGGGATCAGGTGGTCAGGCTCGCTGACTGAGTTGGCACATGTCACCTGTTCCCAATTGTGTAGATCGATGCTCATGCTGTTGATCACAATTCACAAGGACTTCGAAATTTAGAGAGGCAATATTACTCCCTATTAAACTTTCTGAATATCCTCTTTTGGCAAATTTAAAAATCCTGGCACATTTTAAAGCAACTCAATTCTATCCAGTTATGGCTTGAATACCACCTCATTCAGGTGGGATCAGCACAGTGGGGTGGCCCAGTGGTTAAAGTGTTCCCTCAACACACCAAAGACCTGGGTTTGATTCTTGAGTGCCTAAAGGCACATTTCAGTTCTGCCCTATTATAGCTTGAGTACCACCTCATTCAGGTGGGATCAGCACAGTGGGGTGGCCCAGTGGTTAAAGCATTCCTTCAACACACCAAAGACCTGGGTTTGATTCTTGGGTTCAATGAGAGAAGCCAAAACTGGGGTCTCCAACTGTGATGGTGCTGGAATTTTTGCTACAAACAGCAAAAAATACAACTGACTTGCTATCTCCAGAGGGTTCCTAGGGACGTTTCACTGTGTGGGATGCCGTCTAGGATGTTATTTTCCGTTTCAGAATGTATTTTATGTGATGAAGGCTTCCATGAGCATCCTACACAACATTGCAAGGAATCCCAACGTGAAGGGTTTCTTCAAAGAGAACAAAACCGCTGAGGTATGTTTTAACTTTTTTAAAGCATGGGATGCTAAATCACAATTTTATTTATAAAAAAAATGAAAATGGTAAGATGTAGTTATCAGCATGACTGTCTGCATCAGTTTCTTGCTTCCTCTGTCTCATCTCCTAAACCAGACAATCAAGTGATGAATTAGGAGATAAACAGCATGTGATGGCCAATTTCCGGGTGCTATTGAGTACCGGTATTTGAAGCACGGGAATATTTCATTTGAAACCTCCGGCTAACGCTGTCGGTTCCAAATGAATTCCTGTGTTTCAAATACTCAATAACACCCGGAAATTGGCCAACACATGATGTTTATTGACATTGTAAACACAAAAGTAAACCAAAAGGCCCACATGGGTTTTACTGTCTGCACTCATTGACATCGAGTACGGGTACAGCAGTGAAGTGTCATCAGCTGGCTGTTTCAGCTGGTTTCCATGGTAGCATCTGGAACTGCTCATTTGTGACATCATTCCGACTTTACGTCACAATATGATTTGAATGACGTCACCACTGCTGACAACGCAACAGTACAATGGTGTGAGCGATGTTTGTACGTGTCAATGAAAAGTCTTGCAATTTCCCGGAATCGAATACCATTCGATCATGTTTTTCAACGAATCAGATTAAAGCACACTGTGACTTTTGGTTTACAATTCTGTTTAAAACTCGGTACACAGTTAAACATAGTTATAAAGTGGTGCCAATTTTAATTTTAATTTAATTTTAATTTTAATTTTTATTTTTAATTTTTATTTTATTTTTATTTTTATTTTTATTTTATTTTATTTTTATTTATATTTTTGTCATAATCACAAATTGGGCACTAAGGATGAAGGTTGTGCTCGTTTCTGAACTTCTAAACTGTGAAAATTCATTGATGATTATCTTGTCTTCACTTAACAGAAGGTATCCAATGGCCATCAACCAGCAGTTAGTAGCCAAACTCTGTGAACTGAACCATTGCAATCTTACGGAATGGACTGTTGCAATGCTATGCCATTGCCTGTTTTTATATTAATATGTATTTTTAATTTACATGGACTTTGTTTAATTAATATCAATTGTAACATTGCAGGTAATTATGCCATTCATCAACATGAACGACGACATGCTGAGAGTATTAGCCATGTTGACCTTGGCCTACATCGTCGAGGAAGAAGACAACAGCAAACTTATCGACGAAACAGGTCAGACCCTGATCTTTTCACAGAAAAGTAGGTCAAATTACGGTAAATGCGTGTCATCCCCGATGTCGTCCTCTGTGTGAACGCCTTTCTTAGGAGCCACTCTAGGACGTTCTTAGGTCATCGTAGGAGCATCACTAGGAGGTATTTAGGTCATTGAAAGAGCCTATAGTTGGAGGTAATTAGGTCATTGTAAGAGTCGAACTTGGAGGTAATTAGGTCATTGTAAGAACCAAACTTAGATGTAATTAAGTCATCATAAGTGTTTGGAGGTAATGAGGTCATCATAAGAGCTTAAGAGCTGAATTTGGAGGTAATTAGGTCATCATAAGGACCAAGCATGAGGTAATTAGGTCATCATAAGAGCCAAACTGGGAGCTAATTAGGTCATCATAAGAGCCAAACTTGGAGGTAATTAGGTGATCGTGCCCTGATAATTAGGTCGGTATATTTATACACTGTGGGGTTAAGTAGGTCATCGTAAGAGCCACATTTGGACATAACAAGGTTATCAGGATTTAATTAAGTTAAAGAGCCACACTATGAAGTAACTAGGTCATTGTAGGGATGTATTTAGGTCATCTTCAGAACCACATTGCCAGGTTGAAAGGCAATGTTAGGGAGGTAACTAGGTCATTGTAAGAGCCACATCATTAACACAAGAAGTGTTTTTTGGGTTTTTTTTACCTTGGGTATTTATTTTTTTATTTATTCATTTTTTCCATGAAACCAAAGTGATTAACACAAGACTTTGCCACTACAGCAGGTAGGCTAGGGTATTTCAGGGGGCATTTCAGTAGGTATGTAAATCATCACCGGAACCAGCAATAAGGTAACTAGGTCATTCTAAGAATCTCTTTCAGAATTAAGTAGGTCATTCTAAGAGCCACTTTAGGAGTGAGAGAGAGAGATTGTTTTATGCCACTTTTAACAATATTCCAGCAATATCATGGCAGGAATGTGAAAAATGTAGCTTCATACATAGTACCCATGTGGGGAATCAAACCCAGGACTTCCATGCAGCCTCTTTTGGAATTAACTAGGTTAGCTGAAGTCTTCATAAGAATTTCAGACAAGTGCCTCAGAATATGAGTAAACCGTTCGTTGTGTTGAGTTGAGTTGAGTTTTACGTCACATTGGCATTATTCCAGCCATGAAGCAGGGGGGGATCCAGGATGTTGGAGAAGGGGGTGCACATATATCTTTTAGTCCCACACACATTTTAAGCACAAAGTCCAAATGAGTTTCTTGAAAAAATAACAAATACAATTCCGTTCGTAGTGCATATAGTGGCTGCCATAACAGTATGTCAGGAAGTATGCAAGATTTCCACAGCTTTGTCATGTCGCAGTCAGATCTAGTTTATATTCAACAAGACACAGACATCAGATATGCCTGTCTGAATACTTTGTTCATTCATATCAAGAATTTTGTAGCTTTGATGATGAATGGCTGAGTTGAAAGTTACATGACCTTCTATGAAAGTGACCTTGAATTTGAGTAAAATAACCAATTTGAATGAGATTTTGGGGGAAACAATATTTTTTTTCAGACTCTTCTTCAATTCATATAATTCTCTTTCTCTGGATACAAGGATATTTACACAACACATTTTCATTGTACAGCTTTTCTCCGATTCTGGTATACCTGAAGCATAAATATTTTTTCAAGTATTACCAAAAACAATTTTTTTGCCTAAAACATCCCAACCAGCCGACCGCCCTACAGCTCAAATACCGGTAGTTTGGAGTGGCCATCAGAGGTGAGGTGAGGTGAGGTGAAATTGGGTTTAACGTCGTACTTGAGAATATTTCGCTCATATGACGACGTGCATGCGTGTGTATGTGCGGCTGCTTTAACTATGACTCCATGGAGGGACATTGGTTAGAATTGGTCATATATAACCGTAAGAAATAACCTTTGGGATCAGGTTGTCAGCATCCATGAATTGACTGATGAATGTCATCACATCCCAATTTGAAAGATTTATACTCATGATATCAGTCACCAGATTGTCTGGACTTTATTTATAGACGGACATTATTGGGAATATTGCTGAATGTGGCTTTAAACAACTAAAGAAACAAAATAGAAAGAAAGAATAAGAAAGAAACATTGCAGAGTACTCTCCTGCAATAACCGTCCTTACAATAATCCTCATAATAATCCAATTTCCGCAAAAAGCCCACCGATTTCATTAAGCATCAGAGTCATGGATTACCTCCCTTGCAGAACTCTTGCATGCCGGTGACGGAAACCTCTGTGTGTTTTGCATGAAGCATTTTCTACTGCACACTGTAGCGTACATCTACAGAATGCTCACCCCCATATAACCAACCGCTTACTATGTGTGCTCATATATAACCAAGGAATTACGACATTTATACAATGCCTGGGGCACTTTGATCATGTTCCTGACGGGGCGGTGGGGTAGTCTAGTGGTCAAAGCGTTGGCTCATCACGCCAAAGACCCGGGTTGAATCCCCACATGGGTACAATGAGTGAAGCCCATTTCTGGTGTCCCCCGCCGTGATGTTGCTGGAATATTGCTAAAAGCGGCGTAAAACCAAACTCAGTCAGTCAGTCATGTTCCTGACTGCGGGACATGGAATATTTCATAATAATAGCAATTATGTGTTTAGTTTTGGCGTCTCAGAATGTTTCCCCTTTTTAAACCAATTTCATACAAATACAATTTTTCAAAAAGCTTTCTAATACTATATTAATAATTCTTTATGTTTAAGTTAGAAATTTAGACATAAATTCTGTCACATTTAGCCAAAAAGGTGTCTGTTATATCAGAATCTGTTTAATAAATTATTTTTTAAAATTGCTTATAGTTTGATAAGACAAACATCTTAAATAAAAATCAATAAATAATAATATATGAATTATAAATTCAAAAACTTTAAATTTTAATAGGTAATAATTCAATAATCAATTTTTAAAAGATTAAATGTATTGTGGTGACGCTGTTCAATGATGATCTGCATTGCCTCCAGGTACTATAAAGAATGTTGTCATGTGGATTGGCAAAGCATTGGACAACCCAAAGAGGAGGTTCAAGGGATTCACACCGCAGGAGTTGACACAAGGCTTGGACAAGCTAGCTGTCAATGATGGCAACAAGTCGAAGGTGAGTAGTCTTGATGGACAACTACAGGGTAGGGGGAAGGAAGGGATGCCCGTCTGAGTAATTCTATGTTATATCTCCCCAGATGATAGAGGATGTCACCACCTCTCTGTACAACCCTGTGTTATATCTCCCCGGGTCATAGAAGATGGCGCCACCTCTATGTACCACCCTGTGTTATGTCTTCCCAGACCATAGAGGATGGCACCACCCCTCTGTACAACCCTGTGTTATGTCTCCCCAGATCATAGAGGATGGCACCACCTCTCTGTACAACCCTGTGTTATATCTCCCCAGATCATAGAGGATGACACCACATCTCTGTACAACCCTGTGTTATATCTCCCCAGATCATAGAGGATGGCACCACCTCTCTGTACAACCCTGTGTTATATCTACCCAGATCATAGAGGATGGTATAAACACCACAGCTATCTCTGTACAACCCTGCATGCAATGGGTTGGCAGAAAAAGTCGAGGAATTTCATCACCGATCATGAAACCTGAACAAAAGGGCGAAGGTTGAACTGGTGCTTACAGCATAGAAATTTTAACTGGGACAATGTGATTTTCTCAGGTGAAAGTTCTGTGTGGCTGTTCCTAATACACTGAAATTGTGGACCAAACAAACTGAAAACCTTTGTATCAGTGCCCAAAGTACAGTCCGAGAAATTTAGCGTGTGGGGTGGCATATCTGTGTTAGGGGCAAGCCCCTCTGTGTATTGAAGGGAATATGAACAGTGGCGGTACACAGATATTCTCGTGGACATTTACTTCCATCTGCTCCGTGTTCTGTGGAAATTTTTGGATTTTCCAGCAGGACAACGACCAAAACATTGTTCAAAGCATTCACAGGCCTGGTTTTGGGACCCAAAATATGGCGTTATTAGATTGGCCAAGCTATAGCCCTGACCTAAATCCAATAGAAAATGTTTGGGGACTTATGAAGGAAAGTGTCAATAAGAAAAATCTGACAAATATTGCTGAAATGAAAGAAGAGGTGGTCCGATATTGGGACAGCATGGACCACGACTTTCTAACTTCTTTGATCAGTAGTATGCCCTGTCGCATTGAAGCCTGCATTGCTGCCCATGGTGACTTGACAAAATACTAACTGTTCACCTGTCTTTGAATCTGGAGTTATGTTCTGCTAATATTCACATTTAATATACTACCCATCAAAAGTTTAGACTCACTTAAAGCACTCACTATATGTTATGTATATGTATGTGGTTACATCGAAGACGAATTTCTCCACCAACTTGGGGGAACCAACTGAAAACCTTATGCAGATGAATTGCACAAGGATGATGCTTCAAATTGCGAAAGGCATGAGCAAATGTCGTGCATGTGAACAGATGCGTTTTGGTGTAAAGTTTTGTTAAGAATTCGCCAATTTTCACAGATTTTAATCATTTACTGAACTCATGACAATAATCTTTTCAATACAATCCTGTGTTATTGTATCTCCCCAGATCATAGAGGATGTCACCACCTCTCTGTACAACCCTGTGTTATATCTCCCCAGATCATAGAGGATGTCACCACCTCTCTGTACAACCCTGTGTTATATCTCCCCAGATCATAGAGGATGTCACCACCTCTCTGTTATATCAACCCTGTGTTATATCTCCCCAGATCTCTAGAGGATGTCACCCCAGATCATCTGTACTCTGTACAACCCTGTGTTATATCTCCCCAGATCATAGAGGATGTCACCACCTCTCTGTACAACCCTGTGTTATATCTCCCCAGATCATAGAGGATGTCACCACCTCTCTGTACAACCCTGTGTTATATCTCCCCAGATCATAGAGGATGTCACCACCTCTCTGTACAACCCTGTGTTATATCTCCCCAGATCATAGAGGATGTCACCACCTCTCTGTACAACCCTGTGTTATATCTCCCCAGATCATAGAGGATGTCACCACCTCTCTGTACAACCCTGTGTTATGTCTCCCCAGATCATAGAGGATGTCACCACCTCTCTGTACAACCCTGTGTTATATCTCCCCAGATCATAGAGGATGGCACCACCTCTCTGTACAACCCTGTGTTATATCTCCCCAGATCATAGAGGATGTCACCACCTCTCTGTACAACCCTGTGTTATATCTCCCCAGATCATAGAGGATGTCACCACCTCTCTGTACAACCCTGTGTTATATCTCCCCAGATCATAGAGGATGTCACCACCTCTCTGTACAACCCTGTGTTATATCTCCCCAGATCATAGAGGATGTCTCTGTACAACCCCATAGATCATAGAGATGTCACCACCTCTCTGTACTCCTTATATCTCCCCAGATCATAGAGGATGTCACCACCTCTCTGTACAACCCTGTGTTATATCTCCCCAGATCATAGAGGAGGATGTCACCACCATCTCTGTACAACCCTGTGTTATATCTCCCCAGATCATAGAGGATGTCACCACCTCTGTACAACTCCTCCCTGTGTTATATCCAGATCTGTGTTATATCTCCCCAGATCATAGAGGATGTCACCACCTCTCTGTACAACCCTGTGTTATATCTCCCCAGATCATAGAGGATGTCACCACCTCTCTCTGTACAACCCTGTGTTATATCTCCCCAGATCAGACAGGATGTCAACATCTCTCTGTACAACCCTGTGTTTTGTCTCCCCAGATCATAGAGGATGGCACCATCCCTCTGTACAACCCTGTGTTATATCTCCCCAGATCATAGAGGATGTCACCACCTCTCTGTACAACCCTGTGTTATATCTCCCCAGATCATAGAGGGGATGTCACCAGCTCTCTGTACAACCCTGTGTTATATCTCCCCAGATCATAGAGGATGTCACCACCTCTCTGTACAACCCTGTGTTATATCTCCCCAGATCATAGAGGATGTCACCACCTCTCTGTACAACCCTGTGTTATATCTCCCCAGATCATAGAGGATGTCACCACCTCTCTGTACAACCCTGTGTTATATCTCCCCAGATCATAGAGGATGTCACCACCTCTCTGTACAACCCTGTATTATGTCTCCCCAGATCAAAGAGGATGTCACGACCTCTCTGTACAACCCTGTGTTATGTCTCCCTCATAGAGGAAGGCAGGACCAATCTTTATAAACCTATCTCCGATTTTCTCTGCAGTAAAGTAGGTTCCTTCCAGAATCCGGTAGACCTCTGCCGTGACTTTGCACCGATCACTTCTAAACCCATGTTTTGAAGTACACGTTTCGAAACCTCATAACAGGTTAAATTTTGACCATTTCATAACCTAGGTTTTGAAATGGTCGTTATTTAAGCTGATGTGAGGTTTTGAAATGACCATTATTTATGACTGATCGTAAAATATCTCATTATTGAAAACTTCCAATATATAGTGGCGATAACTGGTTTCGAACCCGTAACCCTTCGCTCTCTGGCTTGGCGGTTTTATCCTCTAGGCTACGAAGGATCGCTGTGAAGAAAGAGATTGTTTGTCAATATGAACCATGTGTTCCTCACAAGATGAGTACTGCGAGCAGCACATGTGCAGGACACGGGTAGCGTGTGCAGAGTACATGCATTGCGCGTGCGAGGCAAGGTGTTGGCTGCCAATCGCATCTCAGTTAACACCAGCTGTTCCATCATTTGCGGGTTGTTCCATCAATGTTGTTCTGCTCAGTACATGCACTGTTTTACATTCATGACGGTTCATAAGTCGGATAAAACACTCCCCTCGATCTTGGTAAGTCGGATAAAACCAAGGGCTCTTCGTTTTTACAAGCTCGGATTGAAACCCTCCAGCAGCAGGTGTCGGAGCTTGTAAACCCGAGGGCTCTTCGACCTAACCCAAACCTTTTACAAGTATCCAAATTATTCTGTAGTCTTACCGCTCCGTCTCTGCTGCTCTCAGGTTTTACAATCCCGACCAAGACCTCGGAGTCATGCTTTATCCTTTACGTACAACCCTGTGTTATATCTCCCCAGATTGTAGAGGAAGGTACTATTGATCAGTACAAGCCTATGTTATATCTCCCTACATTTAAGAGGATGGTAGCATGTTTCTGTACAACCCTGTATTATATCTCCCCAGATTACAGAGGAAGGCAGCATCCCTCTGTTCATGAAGATGTTGCTAAGCGACAATGAAAAGGAGCAGAGCACAACGGCGCGATGTATCTGGACGCTGGCGTTCGACAAGGATGTACGGAAGGAGCTGCAGGAGACGGACAATCTGATGAGCACCTTAGAGAAGCTGCTTGAGAGTCAGCACAAGGAAGTGAAGAAGAATGCTCAAGGTGCATTGTGGGTTCTCACCGGGAAAGGAGATGCTCCAACAGACAGTAGGTGCTTTTAAGTTTCTCATTACTGTAACCCGTGAAGATCCGGGTTAGAATTGATCTTCAGTACCCCATGCTTGTCGTAAGAGGCAACTAACAGGATCATGTGGTCAGACTCACTGACACATATCATCATATTCCAATTGATTCAATCGAAGTTCATGATGTTGATCACTGGATTGTCTGGTACAGACTCAATTATTTACAGTCTACTGCCATGTAGGGGGAATATTGCTGAGCGCAGCGTTAAACAACAAACGAATAAACAAAACATTACGATAGTATTTAGGTTATTGTGCTGTTGTGGAACTTTGATGTTCTTGTCTTGAAGTAAAAGATTGGTCCCATGAATTGCTTGTTAATTAACCATTTTGCAGTTGTCTTGAACATTGGATAAATACAATATTGATCAGTATATACGTAGGTCTCTCCAACTCAGTAGTGTTTGACTGTATCATTGAGTGTTTGTTGCAGAGACAAAAGGACCCCCACGAGGGAAGAACCACATCTTCATCAGCTACTCCTGGAATGAGCAGGAGAAGGTTCTGGAGATTCGGGACAAACTCAGGGTCAGTCTCCCTAATCTTGTAGCCATATAGTGACCAGAACACAAAAGCTTGGACTACTATATGAGAGTTTCTCGAACATTACTACACCCCCAACTGTTATAACCGTAGATATTGCTTCATGCCCAGCTGTTATAACCATGGAGATTACTTCATGCCTAACTCTCTCGCTCTCTCTCTCTCTCTCCTCCCTCCTCTCCCTCTCCCTCTCCTCTCTCTCCTCTCTCTCTCTCTCCCTCCTCTCTCTCCCTCTCCTCCTCTCTCTCTCTCTCCTCTCTCTCTCTCTCCCTCTCTCTCTCTTGCTCTCTCTCTCTCTCTCTCCTCTCTCTCTCTCTCTCTCTCTCTCTGTCTCTCTCCTCTCTCCTCTCTCCTCCCTCCCTCCTCTCTCTCTCTCTCTCTCTCCTCTCTCTCTCTCTCTGTCTCTCTCTCTCTCTCTCTCTCTCTCTCTCTCTCTCTCTCTCTCTCTCTCTCTCTCTCTCTTTCTCCCTCTCTCTCTCTCTCTCTCTCTCTCTCCCTCCTCTCCCTCTCCCTCCCTCCCTCTCCCTCCCTCTCCCTCCCTCCTTTCTCTCTCTCTCTCTCCCTCTCTCTCCCTCTCTGTCCCCCTCTCTCTCAGCCTTGCTTGTGGATCCCAACCTATATAAATGCCTCTGTCTCTATCTCTCTCTCTCTATCCCTCTCTCTCCCCTTTCTGCCCCTCTCTCTCTCAGCCTTGCTTGTGGATCCCAACCTGTATAAATGCCTCTGTGAAACTTCACCATCCCATAGTGACTAAACTGTACAGACGCCTTTCCATCACAGAGTTGAGGATGTGTCTCTGTTTGTATTTTCAGACTGAGGGTTATATTGTGTGGGTGGATGTGGATGAGATGGGGGATCCACGCTGCAGGCGATGGCAGAGGCCGTGGAAAATGCTGCCGTCGTCCTTGTGTGCATGTCGGAAAAATACAAGCAGAGTCCCAACTGTAGGACAGGTAAGACTGTATATAGTTGTAAAGATAGTAGTATATTTGTTGGCCATCAGAGTCCCAACTGCAGGACAGGTAAGACTATATATAGTTGTAAAGATAGTAGCATATATGTTAGCCAGCAGAGTCCCAACTGCAGGACAGGTAAGACTGTATATAGTTGTAAAGATAGTAGTATATTTGTTGGCCATCAGAGTCCCAACTGTAGGACAGGTAAGACTGTATATAGTTGTAAAGATAGTAGTATATTTGTTGGCCAGCAGAGTCCCAACTGTAGGACAGGTAAGACTGTATATAGTTGTAAAGATAGTAGTATATTTGTTGGCCAGCAGAGTCCCAACTGTAGGACAGGTAAGACTGTATATAGTTGTAAAGATAGTAGTATATTTGTTGGCCAGCAGAGTCCCAACTGTAGGACAGGTAAGACTGTATATAGTTGTAAAGATAGTAGTATATTTGTTGGCCAGCAGAGTCCCAACTGTAGGACAGGTAAGACTGTATATTGATGTAAAGATAGTAGTATATTTGTTGGCCAGCAGGATGTGAAGGGCACAATGCTGTGCATGTGGGTTTAGTGTTGACCTGGATTAGTATTTGCTTTCCTCCACACTAGGGCTAACTGGAGTATTGCTCCCAGCAATGTTAAACCCAACACACTCACTCATGAACTCTTGAACAGACCACAAAACCCACAGAGAATGTTTAGAAACTCCCAAACAGGCAAACAACCAATTGTTTTTTAAGAATGTAGCCTCTTGGAGATACACGACAGGGCCAGATCCAACATTTTGGAGAAGGGGGTAAACATAAATCTTGAAGTGAAAAGGTTAGGGTGAAATGCTCCTCAGGTAACAATTTTTTGGGGGAAAGCGGGATGCGCATCCCCACAACTCCACTCTGGATCCACCCCTGCACAACTATGACCTAAAGTCCTGACCTTGACCTTTTATCAGTGTCAGTATATGAGGTCACCATTCTCCAGAGGGATGCTCTCGGTTCATCATACCCAAGATAGGGGAATTTTATCACTGATCAATTGACTATTACGACTAGTATAACAAAATACCATACCTACCACCATGTATATTCAGTTGTTTGAGTGGCATTTAAACTGGTGTACCCCATCATTCCCCCATATGCTTGAAAACGGTGTAAGAACCTATACCGAAACGTCGCTATTGTTAAAATAAAGAAGTTGATCATCCATAAAGTGTGTCATCTTCAGGTATATTTATTTCTCTCTACAGAGGCTGAGTACACGTTTCAGTTACGGAAAGACTACATCCCGCTGATGATGCAGAAGAAGTATCGTCCCGACGGCTGGCTGGGGATAGTCCTCGGTGCCAAGCTGTTCTTTGATTTCAGCGGGAAATACCCATTCGAGAAATCCATGTCAGGCATGCTCAAGGAGCTGCGAGGTCGTGGTAAAAGGTCAAACGTGCTTCAATCACAATCTTCAGGTGAGAGAAGAAATGAAACCCTTCATCAACATATTTTGAATCTCAGATTTGACTCATATATGTAGCAGGGCGTGGAGTCATCCCACAGATGAAATCCTTACCTTGTCAACTTGCTGATGGGGTTAACCTCTTTGGTCATGTGGACAAGGCGTCCGACTTCGGATCAGAAGGTCCGCGGACTCGGAAATTATTTCGCTGCTACACATAGATAATCCAAGATGAGTCAATAATAATTCCTTCACCTTGCCAGGGACTTTCAAGTTATGAAAAAATATTCAAAGACATGAGGGTGATGTATAATCAGAAATCAATCTTGCAACTTTTTCAGGTTGTAGACAGTAATTGGTAGTGTTTTCAGTCATTTGATTGTGACATCATTGTAACAGATGATGTCTCAAGATCTGCAAAGCATTGTGACACATTTTCATTGTAGCAATATCTCCCAGGAGATATCATATGATATCACTTAAGCGATGGATGTTAAATGATGATGTACTGTCAAAATCAATAATAATGAGCAATATCTCCTTGAATGATATCACATGATATCACCCAAATGATGGATATCAAATGATGATGTACTGTCAAAATCAATCACTTTGAAGTTGAAGTTTGAAACAGAATCTGCATGTCTCCTGACTATAAACTGCATTATTTTTATTTTATTTACCTGTGAAAAAAAGTGACAAAATCTTTTCGATTTTCATATGCAAATTCTGCTTAAAGTACAATTTCTTTGACATTTCTGAATATCATGACCATTTGTTTCTGAAACAGCATCTGATAGTAACATTATCACATGTTCGCATATAGATCACAAACACATGCAAATGCAGGTCAATCAAATGTTCAGCCATCAAATAAGAAAGGTTTAGCCTTTCTTTAGCTGTGTAAAAGTGAAATTGTACATTACAGAATTAAGGGCTCATTGCAATGTCATTTACTTGCAGATCAAGTAGATGCACTAGAAAGTACGACAGAGAACCGGCTAGTGTTTGCCGGCAACCCACACCGTAACACACACCCCGGCACCGAGCTGGCAATACCTCAGGGACACCAACCTATCACACACAACATGTCACGTGACGACGTGCAGCGCTGGCTCGTCACACACCAACTAGATGGGTACGTACAGTGTCGAGGAGAGTCTTCAGTTTTTATTGCATTGTACAGTTATAAGGCACGTTGAAGCGACAAATTCAAAGCTCTCTGTTGTGCTGAAATTTCAACATCTGATCTGGCTTCACACAATGTGAGACAGGGAAAAATAATCAGTAGGGACTTTTTCATGACAATATTTTTCTTTGACTGACTGACTGGCTGAGCTTGGTTTTACTCCGCTTTTAGCAATATTCCAGCAACATCACGGCAGGGGACACCATAAATGGGCTTCACACATTGTACCCATGTGGGATTCGAACCCGTGTCTTCGGCGTGACGGGCGAACGCTTTAACCACTAGGCTACCCCACCGCCCCTCTTTTTCTTTGATGTACTTAACAAAAATATTTTTGGAGATATTTTTTGCAGTTTGTTTTTTGTTTAATGCCGCACTCAGCAATATTCAGCCATATGGCGGCTGCCTGTATATGATCAAGTCTGGACCAGACAATACAGTGATTGACATCATGAGCATCAAGAAATATCATAATCATGTGTCTCGTTTTCTTTTGCAAAATGTATTGCCACTCTGATTTAGACTATTGAAGTGACTACAAATCAATAAACAACAGAATACTAATATTATGTTGTCTGTTAGCCTACTGAGAAAAAACTTTCTTCAATGTTAACCTTGTGCAGCTATTTCAATCAATTGTAATTTGAAACCTCTGATTGATCAAAATGGATCAAATATTTGTCAAGGTCATGTTACCTCACACATAAATGTCGCTTTCTGATTGGCTGAGAGCTCTACTATTATTTTCAATGTACCCCGCTTACAAGCGAGTAACATTTCAATGTACCCCGCTGTCAATGGCAACTCATTTGGTACTTCGTGGTAGTAATTCTTTATCTCGAATAACATTGAATCACGTATGATGTATGGAAATTACCGATGTTTTGCGAATGCAAATCGATGGAAGGGAGATAACTCTAAATCTTTTTTTTTTGTCAGCAAAATCTAGCGATGGCTACAAAAAGATTTGTACCCATACTTCAAACAATTCAAACTTAACATTAAGGTGTTCGGTAAGACAAAATCTGTGTTCACTGGTCCCTCGGGGCACATGGGTTGATGTACCCTTGTGACCAGTGAACAACTTATATTATGTTACCTTCAGTGGAATGAGTGATTTTACGCCGCTTTTTCAATATTCCAGCAGTATCACCTATCTTCAATTGTGCTGCATTGATATGTAGAATTGATATTTATATTTGAAACTGACATGCACTAATCCATGTACAAAATGCCATGGACAGTTGCAACCATTACACCTAAACTAATCATGTCTTCTTCTGTGGCCTGGTGTAAAAATCTTTGTGCGCAGACTCTTTCGGTGTTGCCACAACCCCTAGTGTACAGTACACAACCCTGTGCACTTAAAAGAACCCACGAATCTGTTGGTATATGACCAGATGGTGGCCACATGCATACACCTAGTTGCAGGTACAGCAACATGCAGTAAACTTCGACAAAGTGCTGTGACTATATGTCCCAGTCCACCCAGCTGTGAATGGGAACCTCGTTAGGATGAGAAAGCCACAATAACTCGGTGCGCCTAGTGGCAGCAAGAGTTGTATACTCCCCAGGGAGTTGAGATTGATAATATGATGTGCCGTTGAGATTGACATCCAATGATCGAGGGAAAAAATACCAGCGCCTTGAGCATGCACTAGTGTGTGGATATGTGCGCTATATAAATATCCTATAATAATAATGATAATTCTTCTAGCTTTCTGTTTGATTCACTTTGGTTTTCCTCCTCAGATCCATCGCAGCCTTCAGCCAGTTTGACGGACGGTTACTATGGCAACTAAGGGAAATGAAACAGGAGGTTAGTTTGTTTTTTTGCCAGTATGGATACGACATTTGTTTCAGTGTTGTGTAGCTTGCATAATTCCACTGATCTGTGTTTTGCTGATTTTGCTAATCCAGCGTTTAAAATTCCCGCCTGCCCGACTGTCGGGAACGGTCTACTTTCATCTCGGACTGTCAAATTTCAAAAGTAGCCTGTCCGGTGGTCTGGTAGATGTTTTTACCCCTAACAGTAAATATTTCATAATATCAGACAGGTTCTCTTGTCGTCAGTTTGAGGTGTTTATGATGATTATTAAATTATTTACGATTTGACAGTTCATTTACAATAACCAATCACAACACATGTACTTTCAGTTTACCTAAACTCGGTGCATTGCCTGTTAGTGCTATGTAGTTCATTGCGATGCCTACAAACAGTGACCTGACTAACCTGATTTTGTTTGTTTTTTATTGTTGAAAACCGGACAGGCAAGTTTGTATCCAGACTGGTAATTTTTTAAAGTTACCAGTCCGGCTGTCTGGCTTGGAATTTTGGGAGTTTTAAACACTGGCTAATCCTTACAAGTACTTTGGTATCATGTTCTCAGACTCTCGTGTGTTCTGCCACCATGTTTGAATCCGAAGAAATGTTCTGCTGTTATAATCTTTTCTTTAACATGTACTGCTATCACATTTAAGTCTTTACAAATATTTTGGTGAAATTCATGGAATTGTTCTGCTTTACTGTTCAAATCCTCTCATGTGTTCTGCCATCATATTCAAGTCCTTGCAAATGTTCCGATATCTGCTTGTCCAAATGTACTGCTGTCATGATTAAGTTCTCACAAATATTCTGCTGTCATGATCTTTTCTTTGCGTAGTATTCTGCTGTTTTTATTCTAATTCTAAGTATTGTTCCACTGTCATGCTTAAAACCTCTTACGTCTTCTGCAATATTCTGGCGTCATATTCAAGCCCTTGCAAATGTTCTGATATCTGCTTGTTCCAATGTTCTCATATCTGCTGCCGTCATGAAAAAGTTGAGCAAGACTATACTCACTCACTCACTCACTCACTCACTCACTCACTCACTCACTCACTCACTCACTCACTCACTCACTCACTCACACACTCACTCACTCACTCACTCACTCACTCACTCACTCACTCACTCACTCACTCACTCACTCACTCTGTTTCATGTTACAGGCACCCGTCCTACTCCCATATTCAAATCATCACACATTTGCTGAAATTTTGTTTAAATCCTGTAATTTGTTTTGCAGTCCAGATTGCATTGAATGTTGTTTGATCCTGTTCAAATGTGGCTCATGATGCTCTGTTTCGTGTTCCAGGCACCCGACTATTTCTACCAGTGTCTGGAGAAGAAACTGTCCATGAACCTCATCGATATGCTCCGCCTTGCCTCAGCCCTTGATGCCCTCCACTGAACTGCTCCAAACCAGTTTGGGCTGGTCCAAATGTGCCATAACCAGATCTCAGTGGTCAGGACCAGTCTGCACAAGAACTGACTGATTGTGTGTTTAATATGGAATGGATGTGCTAGCACTATGAACAACACTGAATACACCCAAAGTGCTATCATGTGGAGTATATAGTTATTGATCATTTGTTTCTACTGTAGGATGGGAGGGTAAATGTCACCAATATTCCTACCAGCATCGTAGAGTACGAGTGTAGCTTAGCAACAATATTCTGATTTGTGTACAGACAAAGGAGCTATGAACAGATGATGAGACACAAACTATACATGTGATATTGGTATCTTCAGTGGGTTGGGTAGCCTTGTGATTGAAGTGCTGGCCCATGTCGTCGGTGCCTGGGTTTGATTCCCAATTGTGTGTGAAGATCATTCTTGGTGTTCCTTGTTTGGTTGGAATGTTGCATCACGTGAAAAACAAAATCTCTATCTCACTCAAGTGGATATGAATCATAGGTCCTCTACTCATGATCCAATGACATTATCACATCATGAGTGATAGCAGACTACATGTAGTGGATCAGAAACTAAAACTTAAGTGTGACCTTCAGAAAGGTAGTCGTATTCTTCTGTGGATGAAGACATGTAGCAAGGACTTACCTGTATTGCCTCTGTAGATGGACACTCACGCACAGAAGGAGTTTGCACTCCTCTGAGGACAGAGACTCACAGTCAGATGGAGTCTGTATTCCTCTGGGGACAGAGACTGGCAGCAAGAATAAACCTTTATTCCTCCATTGATGGAGACACAGAAAGAAAGAGTTTGCATTCCTCTGAGGACAGAGACTCACAGTCAGATGGAATCTGCATTCCTCTGAAAATGATGACAGACTCTCAGTCAGATAGAAACTGTATTCCTCTAATGACAGACTCACAGTGAGATAGAATTTGTATTCATCTGGGGACAGAGACTGGTAGCAAGAATAAACCTTTATTCCTCCATTGATGGAGACACAGAAAGAAGGAGTTTGCATTCCTCTGAGGACAAGAACACACAGCACAAAGGTTGTAGATAAAGACTCGCAGAAAGAATATAACTGTATTCTTCTATGGATGGAGCCTTGAAAACAAGAAGGGATATCTATTCTTCTCAAGATGAAGACAAAACAGCAAGAAGCAAGCTGTGTTCCTCATAAGATGGAGAGACAAATTAAGAATAAGAGTGTATTCCTCGATGGATGGAGACACAGATCAGCAAGGAGACTGACAGCAAAGAGGAATCATTATTCCTCTATGAATGAAGACTCACAGAAAAAAGGGATATCTATTCTCCAGTTAGATGAAGACACTCGGCAAGAAAGTGCCTGTATTTCTCTACAGATGGAGACCAAGTCTGTCCAAATGGAAACACATGTTATGCTGCAGCAAGAAGAACGTCTTTCTGTGAATGATTGAATGATGAAAGTTCACCAAGAGTGAAGCTGTATTCCTCTGTGAATGGAGACAAAAGATATCTTGACACAGGAAGGTCCCTGTATTCTGGCCGATATGATACACACAGCAAGGTGATACCTTAATTATTTTGTGATCAAGACAAAGAAATAAGGCTACAGGGAAAAAACCTATAAGAGATCATACCACTGTGAGCAAACTGAACATTACTTATGAACATTAACAGCCTGAAGCAATGACTCAGAAAAGAAACATGGATAATGGCTTAATCAGATGAGACCTTTGTTCCTCAGTGGAAAGGGGAGGTGGGGTAGCCTAGTGGATAAAGCATTTGCTCGTCATGCTGAAGACTCAGGTTCAATTCCCTAAATGAGTACAATGTGTGAAGCCCATTTCTGGTGACCCCCACTGTGATATTGTTGGAATATTGCTAAAACTTGCGTAAAACTAAACACTTTTCAGTGGATCAAGATAAACAAGATCTTACTGCTACATATGAGACCACTTTTCCTCAATGGCGAACGACACACAGAACGATGGAACCTCTATGTATGAATGAAGGCACACAGCAATATACAATATCTGTTCCTCTCTGGATGAGAACACAAGATTGAGTCTATATTCCTCTGTGGATAAAAACACAGAATGATAGAACATATATTCTTCTGTAGATGGAGACACTGCAAGACAGAGACTTTATTTCTTTTGTAGACGAGGGCACATAGCAAGATAGAATGTCTATTCTTCTGTGGACAAGGACTCACATCATGATGGAACCTCTATTCCTCTGCGAACAAAGATACAGCAAGACAGAACCTATATTCCTCTCTGGACAAAGACACAGTAAGATAGAGACTCCATTCATCTGTGGACAAGAACTCTTAGCATGAAGGAAGCTATATTCCTCTCTGGGTAAAAAGACAGCAAGAAGGAGCCCTATGGTTCTGTTGACAATAATACAGCATGGTCATCTCTATTCCTCTGTGAACAAAGACACAGCAAAATAGAACCTCTATTCCTCTGTGAACAAAGATACATGCAGACAGAACCTCTATTCCTCCGTGAACAAAGACACAGCAAAATAGAAACTCTATTCCTCTGTGGACAAAGACACAGCAAAATAGAACCTCTATTCCTCTGTGGACAAAGACACAGCAAAATAGAACCTCTATTCTTCAGCAGACAAGGATGCTCAGTAAGAAGGGAACTATAGTCTTCTCTAGGTTGAAGGCACAGCAAGAAGGGAACTATATTCTTCTCTAGGTTGAAGGCACAGCAAGAAGGGAACTATATTCTTCTCTAGGTTGAAGGCACAGCAAGAAGGGAACTATATTCTTCTCTAGGTTGAAGGCACAGCAAGAAGGGAACTATATTCTTCTCTAGGTTGAAGGCACAGCAAGAAGGAGCCCTATCAATCTGGGGACAAAAATACAGCATGATCACCTCTCTTCCTGTGTGGATGAAGACCTGCAGCAAGAAGGAACTCATATTCCTCTGTTGATGAAAGCCCACAGCAAGAAGTGCATCTGTCCTTTTATGGATAAAGACGAACAAGGGGATACTACAACAAGCATGCTGACAGATTTCAACAATTCTGTCATCATTCAGTGTGTGGCTGACAAATCCTTAAATCTGGATTATTATGTGTTCCGTTTTCAGCTTGAAGCTGTAGGATAGGGATATCAACACAATCATCGGGAAGCTGAGTCGGCACCTGGAGATGTGGTTGGAAACCCAGGGTCGGACAAAGAATGTACAACCGATACAACTGTGGTTGGAATCCCAGGGTCGGCCAGAGATTGTACAACCGTTGTTGGAATCCCAGTGACAGCCAGAGAATGTACAACTGATATAACCCTGGTTGGAATCCCAGGGTTGACCAGAGAATGTACAACCGATACAACCATGGTTGGAATCCCAGGGTTGACCAGAGAATGTGCAACTGATACAACCGTTGTTGGAATCCCAGGGTTGAGTGTCAGCCAGAGAATGTACAACTGATACAACTGTGCTTAATCCCAGAATTCGGCCTGTACAACCGTTGTTGAATCCCAGGGTTGACCAGAGAATGTACAGCCGATACAACCATGGTTGGAATCCCAGGGTTGACCAGAGAATGTACAGCAGATACAACCATGGTTGGAATCCCAGGGTTGACCAGAGATTGTACAACCGTTGTTGGAATCCCAGTGACAGCCAGAGAATGTACAACTGATATAACCCTGGTTTGAATCAACACTTGTCATGCAGGATACAACTGCTGGTTACACTGAAGTCAGACACATGTGCAGGGCACACCAACCTTTTTGCTTGTTTACTGTGCATGCCCAAGATGTTTAAGGACATGGTAAACTGAAGTCAGGGAGGTCGTTTACCATCAAATATGTGTTCAAGTGAGATTAGGGAGGTTGTTCACAATTAATTATAAGATAAAATGAGGTTTGGAAGGCTGTGGACTATCAAAAGTTTAAAATGAGGCTAAGAAGGACGTGGACCTTTAGTTGTTAAACTGAGGTTAGGGAGGATGTGCACTAGTAAATTTGTTTAAATGAGGTTGGGGGGGGGGGATGTACTACAAAAATTGTTAAACAAAATTTGTTAGCAAAATAAAAAATTCTCTTAAAAACTTCCCACAAGATCAGAAGACAGTGTTCGCAAAAAGAAACTGATAACTCATGATGATATAAATAATATAATAACTTCCACAAAATCAGGATCCACTTACACAAAGCAGTATTAGCACTACAACAGAAGTTGTGAACACTTTAGTGCTAAGATGACTTTGATCAAGTGGACCCTGTTCCTCAAAGCAATCTTAGCAAAACAACAGTCATGAGCCTATGTTAACGTATGGGAGTTACAACCATCTTAGCACTAAGATCACAAGAGGACCTTGCGCTAAGATCACTTTGATCACGTGGACCCTGTTCCACAACACAAAGCGATTTTATCACTACAACAGTCATGAGCCGATGTTAATAAGGGAGTTACAACCATCTTAGCACTAAGATCATAAGAGGACCTTTTGCTAAGATTGCTTTGTGGAAACGACCCTAGAATAGACATCTTCTGCACATGTCCTCACACTTGTAATAACTGTATCATCCTAGGAAATGGTCCTACAGACATGTGAGGTCCTAATATGGGATCTACAGTCTTGGTCCTAACAGAGACTGGGGCGGTGGGGTAGCCTAGTGGTTAAAGCGTTCGCTCGTCACGCCGAAGACCCGGGTTCGAATCCCCGCATTAGTACATTGTGTGAAGCTCATTTCTGGTATCCCCTGACGTGATATTGCTGGAATATTGCTAAAAGCCGCGTAAAACCAAACTCACTCACTCACTCACTCCTAACAGAGACCATAAATTTATGTGGTCTCTGGTCCTCGGTTAAGTGTTACGCCTTTTTGAAGTCCCTCAGTTTGTGTTAATCCATCCTCAGTTATGCAGGGAATTTTATGACCATTCTATTATGATAACTACCCTGGACCTTTTCACAGTAAAATTTTTCAGAGGGTAATGACACATCTTCGTCCTTCGTATCAATACCGCGACACAGAATATCTCTTTGTCATGTGTGTTATTTGGAGGGTCTGTTATTTTCAATATTGCCTATTTTTAATTGGACTCAAAACATGGCGTCTCCACGGTATTTATCATACCTGGAGATATGATATCCTGGATATGTGACGATAGTTTTTGAAGCGGTGACGACATCCACTCTAACACCATCACAGGTACTGAAGAAGAGGCATTGCGGCTCCAGTCAGAGAAAGTATGTGAAGTCGGTGAACACCTAGGACATTCTGTGTAACATTTTCCACAAGACTATTATGACGTTTTTTTTCAAACAGAAATATATTTGTATAAAAAATTTCATTTCCTTCTTCTCATCCATCATTGGTGTGAATTCACAAGGATGCTAATATTTGCTGCTCTGATTATATGTATTCTGTGTTTTAGATTTTCTACAATCATCCTTTATAAGCTGCTGTTCTGTTGTTGATGCTGTGTGTGTTAAGTTTAAGTGTTGTTGTACAGGTGTAACCCAAATTTGTTCCCTGTGTAAAAATATCCAGGGACATAATTCATTGAAGAATTTTCTTTTGAAAGATTAGTATTTTGTTTGTTTCCAGAATAAATGCAATATTATTGAAATTTGTAAAGAAAACATGAACTTTTATTGAAGATTTTCAACTGCAATGTTCTTTTCTAAGAAGAATGGGGAAAAAAAGAGGTTTATTTCTAAATGATGATAAATAAATTGTCTGTTTGCAGTATGAGTGAGAGGTTTAAATCTTGAATTTTCATAGATTAAATTAAATTAAATGCTTATTCTTATGTGTTCCAGTCCCCTTATAGTCCTAATTCAAGAAGTCAAACTTTTCTGTGACAGTTTTAGAAATACAACACTAAGCACAAGTAGTCATTTCACTCAGGTCATGTCTTCAAACAATATTTTCAGGAAATGACATAAATTAAATATTTGTGATAATCCTTCATGAAATGATTTAATGTAAAAAAAATATTCATTTCTTTCTTTTGTGAGGTGCTCTTGTGAAGCGTTTTCTTACAGAATTACTTTTAGAAGTCTCTTTTTTGTGAAAATATTTCCAGATTATATTAACCAAAATACTGAGATGCAAACATACAAAGAATGCTAATATGAATTGTTTTACCTCAGAATTATAAATGTAATTTTTTAAGAATTCCTTTTTTTCCCTTATCTCAACTAAGAAAACAATATTTTAACAAAAACATTTCACAATAATTCAAATTATTTTTTTTAATATATACCGGGTATACCATCCCAAATTTGAGGAATTTTATTCTGTTGAAACACAAAGACATAACTATGAATTTAAATTAATGAAATATTTTGCTAGGAAATTACGGATTATACACACTGTCTTGTTTATAAGTGTTCTATAGAGGTGCAACAGTACGGCCATGCCACAGTTCGGTACGTATTGCGGTACACAGCTCTCGGTTCGGTACATTTCGGTTTGGTTCATTAACAATAAAAATTAAAGTTCCAAGAAGAAATCTTCTTGGAATTGAGACCCAAACGAAAGTGCCTTCACACGAACTTGTTCGTCCAATCGAATCAGCATGAGTTGTTGACAACAGCACTTTGGAACAGAAATCTCAGAAACGGTAGCTACATGAAGATGTCATCTAGAATTAAATTACATGGAATAATTGTGATGACATTTCGAAAGTAATGTGCATAAGGTGAGTAAGGTGATATTTTCGGTACGAAAACCGAACGTACCGTATTTTCAAAGTGAATTTCAGTGTACCGAACCGAAAACAAAATACTGCAGTATGAATACACCGCTATATACGGGTTCAGCCCTAGTGTTCTATGTAAAAGGGTGGTGGGGTAGCCTAGTGGTTAAAGCGTTGGCTCGTCACGCCTAAGACACGGGTTCGATTCCCCACTTGGGTACAATGCGTGAAGCCCGTTTCTGGTGTCCCCCGCTGTGATATTGCTGGAATATTCCTAAGGGGGCGTTAAACCATACTCACTCACTCACTCTATGTAAAAAGTACTGACATCATTGTTATATACACTATTATGTTCAGATGCAATATTACTTACTGTTAACTTCTTTAAGCAATATATTCACAGCACAAAAGCTGACCTTGTGAAGATTTAATGTATTGTTGACTTTTGTTATAAATTGTTGTACCCCAAACAGTATCTCTAGCTCAGGTAAGCAGGATATACAGTTATGCTGCAGTATAATATTTATTATCAATATTTGAGATGTGTATAGACAATGGTTGTTGTAGAATATATAGGAAGACAAATTTGTTGGATATATTTGTTTTGTTTAATTATCAGTTTATGTCCTTGGGACTAGACATGTTTGATGTTGTGCGATGTGAACTCCATAAGAAGTTTTAGTTTCTTATCAGTTAAGTTTGCACTCAAAATAAATGTAATTTGTAATGTAAATGTTGTTTTATAAGTAAAAGTTGGCCAAAATTGATATCAATATTTTATTGGAAAACTAAGATCATGATATCAAAGTCGAAATTACAATCCTTGAAGCATGAAGCAAGATTTTGCATAGTCGGCACATTGTAACTTAAGTGCAATTCACTGTGCAGGGTTGTCTCCCTTGGACAGGCAAGAACTCTTTGATTGAGCGTCAAAAGTATGGTTTACCCTGATTTGGTGTCTGGGTTTGTTAACACCATGCTGGTTTGCTGGTTCCACCAAGCACCTACGATGTGCCTCAGTTTAGGCTTTTGCCTCAAATTAAGCTTATCTACCCTGATATGAGTGAACAAGCAGTGTTAAACCCAGCTCACTCACTCACTCACTTCTGGATATTAAACAGTTATGTTTTTGAAACATCAGTGATGATATGAACTCATAATAAACCATTAAGCACATCTAGGGTCATGTTTTCAACAAACAAAATTACAGAACAGAAAGCTACTATTACCCCATTTTCAACCAGCTGTATCTGAGCTTAATGTGTCAAGGGGCGGTGGGGTAGCCTAGTGGTTAAAGCGTTGGCTCGTCACGCCGAAGACCCGGGTTCGATTCCCCACATGGGCACAATGTGTTAAGCTAATTTCTGGTGTCCCCTGCCGTTATATTGCTGGAATATTGCCAAAAGCGGCGTAAAACTAAACTCAGTCTGTCAGTCAGTTAATGTGTCAAATGTCAACATTTAAATGGACCTGTTATATGGTGTGAAACAAGATACCTTCTTCAAAAACTGGAAAAAAATGATAATATTCTGTAAGAATGGACCTTGATATAATGTGGAACTATGTATCTTCTTCGAAGACGTCTGGATAAATATGAGAATATTCTGTAACAGCGTATAGATGGACCCTGATAAAGTGTGAAATAAGATATCTTCTTTGAAGACTTTGGAAAATATGGGATATATTCTGTAACAGCATATAGATGGACCCTGATAAAGTGTGAAATAAGATATCTTCTTTGAAGTCTTTGGAAAAATATGAGTTTATTCTGTAACAGCATATAGATTGACCCTGATAAAGTGTGAAATAAGATATCTTCTTTGAAGTCTTTGGAAAAATATGAGTTTATTCTGTAACAGCATATAGATGGACCCTGATAAAGTGTGAAATAAGATATCTTCTTTGAAGACTTTCGAAAATATGAGAATTTTCTGTAACGACATTTAAATAGACAATTATGGTGTGAAACTAGATATCTTCCTCGAGACACCTGGATAGATGTGAGTTTTCGGAAAAACAGAAATGGACCTTTATATGGTGCGAAACTAGATATCTTCTTCAATGACGCCTGGATAGATATGGCAAAAATAAGCTGTAACAAATTAACGAAAATCTTTCAGCGGTTTACTTCGTATTTCATGTTAGTTATTTTTTATATGCTTGTCAGAATATTTTGTCATTGCCTTTTCTGTTTCTCATCCTTTGACATAACACTCCATTACGATCAGTGACTGACAGTTTTGTAACCATTTTCATATTTGTACATGTTCTGTACAGTTGAGCACGTGGTCTGTACCATTCACACATTAAACAATGATTGTACTATTTGCCTATCTACTGTTTATTCTTCTTCATCAGAGGCCATAGGGTTGCTGGGGTGGCCTAGTGGTTAGAGAGTTCACTTATGTCATGCCGTAGACCTGGGTTCGATTCCCAAATTATCTTCAATGTAGGAAGCTCATTTCTGGCGTGATATTGCAGGAATATTGCTAAAAGCAGCATAAAACATCACTCACTCACTCACTTACTCAGAAGCCCATAAATGTATATGTTTTTTTTTCTCGTGTTCATGCACAGCATCAGAGAGCTGACAAAAATATAAATTCACCACAAAAGCCTGGTTTTGGTTAGTTGAGGTGAGGCGAGGTGAGGCGAGGTGAGGTGAGGTGAGGTGAGGTGAGGTGAGGTGAATTGTGGTATAAAAAACATTCATTTTTGTACATATATTGAAGCATGCATGCAGGTAAGTTTGTGGTTTGATGTGCCGCTAAAACTGCTAGTCCACTGAGATACCACGTGACATGGTACACCTGATACATATACCTCACACCCACACAGTATACTGACTCCAAGGTGGCTAGTCCATGTTTTATACCCTTAATGCCGAGAGAGGGAGTGGTAGGTAGCCTAGTGGTTAAAGCGTTGGCTCGTCACGCCGAAGACCTGGGTTCGAATCCCCTCATGGCTACAATGTGTGAAGCCCATTTCTGGTGTCCCCTGCCATGATATTGCTGGAATATTGCTAAAAGCGGCATAAACCCATGCTCACTAACTCACTCACTTCATGCTGAGCAGCAGGCAGGGCGACAACATGTACTGAGTTACTTCCTTCCTTAAAGTTTCTTCAGACAGACATGGATAAAAAATTTTAAACAAGAATACCTTTGGTTTTTCCAGGATGAGATTATGACACAACAATGTATGTCAAAATAAAAATATTTTTTGAGCTGGACATATTTTCAGGATGTTTGTTACATACACATATATCTAAAAATGTAAATAATATTGAGGTGGACGGAATGTTGGTAAAATGAGGAAAATGTTGAATGTTGTCTTGTTACGATCTCATTTGTCTATTTGTCAGTTAACATCGGTCGTGAGTTATCTCCCTTTAGCTGGCTGATGTAATTAATAAATGTGTCGGCATTGGTACTTAAATATATCTGACTTATTGTACACTTTGGTTTTACTTTACTTCATGTGTTTGTGTTTACATTACCCCTTCTGTTTAAACAATGGGTGGCTTCAGTTAAGAGATGGGGGCTTGCTCAAACTGCATCATATGAATACAGGGGGTATTAGCAGACTCCCTTGTCTGAAAGCCATACAAATGACAGTGTTGGTAAGCATTTAATTTGCCAGTAGCTGGCCGCCATTCAGTATCCTGTGTCTCTATGATGTATGTCCACTATAAGGGTGGTGGGGTAGCCTTGTGGTTAAAGCATCCCCATGTCACGCTGAAGACCCAGGTTCTATTCCCCATACAGGTACAATGTATAAAGCCCATTTCTGGTGTCCCCTGCCTTTATATTGCTGGAATATTGCTAAAAGCGACTTAAAACCATACTCACTCACTCACTCACCCAGTATAGTGAGACCAATTAGTATTATATTTCTACACATAAGTCTGATCTTAAGTTCCCAATAATGAAAACTAAATAATTCGAAATCCTGTGTTAAAATTAATTAAATTCAACAGCAAAATTAACAATTATAATGATCAAGCCTTCATAAGCAGACATAGGTGTATTGAAGTGTATTGACAGGTGTATTAAAAAGAGTGTATTACCTCACCAATTCAGTACAACAGGGTGTTTTGTGTATTTTCACGCATTATTTAATGTATTGCATTATTATCTATTCCTTGTGTACATATGGTCAAATAGAACCCTGTAAAGTTGAAAATTTAATGTAATTTGATATGCAAAGTCACTAGTCATTTCACCCTTTGAAATTGCATTTATTTTCCAATCTTTTTAACCTATGAGATGTCCACTCAAGTATTCCTTCCACATATTTCTTATATGTGATACATCAGATATTTTTGATTATGATTGTGTTGTGATCATACTGTTTTATTTTGAAAATACAACATTAATAATTCAAAATGTAAAAAATTACAAATATATGCATAATAATAAATTTCATTTCAATTTAGAATTTTGACATTTAATGCCTGAATTATTAAATAAACAATATAATATTTAGTAACAATTCAATTATTTTTGCAAAATTTATTCTTGAAATGAAGAAACTCCAATGACTGGCCTCTTGAATAAAAAATCTTAGTTGCAACTTTGGTAATGTGTTAAAAGTCTCTAAATTTCTTTTTTATGTGTTTCTGATTAATCCAATTATGAAAATGAATTATTAATATATGTTTCTGTTATTAGAATATGTATGTAATAGGTTTGTCATGTGTTTCTTCTGTCAATGAATGCATGTTTTGTTGGCATGTTTCTGTTGTGAATATTTTCTTTGGTTATATTTTAAAGATGAATGTTCTATAGCATCTTCAATAAGAATGTATTTTGCTGTCACAATATGTTTTGACTTTTTAATCCTTTTTGTCACTTTTATTAATTGTGTTGATATTATCATGTTTTGTTCAGTTTCTATATGTTATTATTATTTTGATAGACTGATTATTTAGAAGGTGTGCAATAGTAGTATATAGACACATGTAGGGAAAGAACTGTCTCTTGTTGCTGAAATACTTATATTTAAAGTATACAGAGCGGGTTGAAGTTAAATATGAACACATGGATCAGCATCCACAGTATACAACAACACCTTCTCCCTCATCACCAGCTGTGATTACAATGACATGATGCAGTTAGTAACATCCTTCCCTTGTTCAGAAACAACGATGCTGGCTGCTCTACCCTTTGAGTTCTGCAGTGTTAACCAGTTATAGAACCTCAATCCCCGTAGTATAATGTTTTATTTAAGACCAAACGCAAGGCTGACTGTCGGTCAGTAGTTTTGTTTTACACAGACGAGAGACTGTCGGTCAGTAGTTTTGTTTTACACATACGAGACACAGACCAGAGACTGTCGGTCAGTAGTTTTGTTTTACACAGACGAGAGACTGTCGGTCAGTAGTTTTGTTTTGTGCTGTCGGTCAGTAGTTTTGTTTTACACAGGCGAGAGACTTTTAGTTTTGACAGGCGAGAGACTGTCGGTCAGTAGTTTTTGTTTCAGTGCTGCTAAGGAGATATATGTTTACTTTTACTAGATATACATTGTGTTTACTAGATATACATTGTGTTTACTAATTATGTTTTCCTTTGTAATAAACCTTTGAAATTTTGTTCTATTTTGTTTTAGTTTTTGTGATTTGCTTGATATTTGTTTGAAAAGTCAAACTGTTATGTTTTGTTTGAAGCCGGCAACATTTTTCTTTGTGTGAAATGACTATGTCATATTTACAAATTCCTGACAAGAAAAACAGTGACTGAAATTTTAATCAATTTACGCCAATCACCACCATCTCCCTGGCTCAGTCATCACCATCTCCCTGGGTCAGTCACCACCATCTCCCTGGGTCAGTCATCACCATCTCCCTGGGTCAGTCACCACCATCTCCCTGGGTCAGTCAACACCATCTCTCTACGTCAATCACCATCATCTCCCTTGGTCAGTCGTCACCATCTCCCTCAGTCACCACCATCTTCCTGGGTCAGTCATCACCATCTCCCTGGGTCAGTCACCACCATCTCCCTGGGTCAGTCACCACCATCTCCCTGGGTCAGTCACCACCATCTCCCTGGGTCAGTCACCACCATCTCCCTGGGTCAGTCACCACCATCTCCCTGGGTCAGTCACCACCATCTCCCTGGGTCGTTCACCACCATCTCCCTGGGTCACCACCATCTCCCTGGGTCAGTCACCACCATCTCCCTGGGTCAGTCACCACCATCTCCCTGGGTCAGTCACCACCATCTCCCTGGGTCAGTCACCACCATCTCCCTGGGTCAGTCACCACCATCTCCCTAGGTCAGTCACCACCATCTCCCTGGGTCACCATCTCCTGGGTCAGTCACCACCATCTCCCTGGGTCAGTCACCACCATCTCCCTGGGTCAGTCACCACCATCTCCCTGGGTCAGTCACCACCATCTCCCTAGGTCAGTCACCATCATCTCCCTGGGTCAGTCACCACCATCTCCCTGGGTCAGTCACCACCATCTCCCTGGGTCAGTCACCATCATCTCCCTGGGTCAGTCACCACCATCTCCCTGGGTCAGTCACCACCATCTCCCTGGGTCAGTCACCACCATCTCCCTGGGTCAGTCACCACCATCTCCCTGGGTCACCACCATCTCCCTGGGTCAGTCACCACCATCTCCCTGGGTCAGTCCACCACATCTCCATGGGTCACCACCATCTCCCTCAGTCACCACCATCTCCCTGGGTCAGTCACCATCATCTCCCTGGGTCAGTCACCACCATCTCCCTAGGTCAGTCACCACCATCTCCCTTTGTCAGTCACCACCATCTCCCTGGGTCAGTCACCACCATCTCCCTGGGTCAGTCACCACCATCTCCCTAGGTCACCACCATCTCCCTGGGTCAGTCACCACCATCTCCCTCAGTCACCACCATCTCCCTAGGTCAGTCACCACCATCTCCCTGGGTCAGTCACCACCATCTCCAGGGTCAGTCACCACCATCTCCCTGGGTCAGTCACCACCATCTCCCTGGGTCAGTCACCACCATCTCCCTAGGTCAGTCACCACCATCTCCCTGGGTCAGTCACCACCATCTCCCTGGGTCAGTCACCACCATCTCCCTGGGTCAGTCACCACCATCTCCCTAGGTCAGTCACCACCATCTCCCTGGGTCAGTCACCACCATCTCCCTAGGTCAGTCACCACCATCTCCCTGGGTCAGTCACCACCATCTCCCTGGGTCAGTCACCACCATCTCCCTGGGTCAGTCAACGCCATCTCCCTCAGTCACCACCATCTCCCTGGGTCAGTCAACTACATCTCCCCGTGTCAGTCAACACCATCTCTCTAGGTCAATCACCATCATCTCCCTGAGTCAGTCACCTCCATCTCCCTGGGTCAGTCACCACCATCTCCCTGGGTCAGTCACCACCATCTCCTAGGTCAGTCACCACCATCTCCCTGGGTCAGTCACCATCATCTCTCTGGGTCAGTCACCTCCATCTCCCTGGGTCAGTCACCACCATCTCCCTGGGTCAGTCACCACCATCTCCCTGGGTCAGTCACCACCATCTCCCTGGGTCAGTCACCACCATCTCCCTGGGTCAGTCACCTGGGTCCATCTCCCTGGGTCAGTCACCACCATCTCCCTGGGTCAGTCACCACCATCTCCCTGGGTCAGTCACCACCATCTCCCTGGGTCAGTCACCACCATCTCCCTGGGTCACCACCAGTCACCATCACTGGGTCATCTCCCTAGGTCCACCACCATCTCCTTGGTCAGTCACCACCATCTCCCTAGGTCAGTCACCACCATCTCCCTGGGTCAGTCACCACCATCTCCCTGGGTCAGTCACCACCATCTCCCTGGTCAGTCACCACCATCTCCCTGGTCAGTCACCACCATCTCCCTAGGTCAGTCAACACCATCTCCCTTGGTCAGTCACCACCATTCCCTAGGTCAGTCACCACCATTCCCTAGGTCAGTCACCACCATCTCCTGGGTCAGTCACCACCATCTCACTGGGTCGGTCACCACCATCTCCCTAGGTCAGTCACCACCATCTCCCTAGGTCAGTCACCACCATCTCCCTGGGTCACCACCATCTCCCTGGGTCAGTCACCACCATCTTCCTGGGTCAGTCACCACCATCTCCCTGGGTCAGTCACCACCATCTCCCTGGGTCAGTCACCATCATCTCCCTGGGTCAGTCACCACCATTCCCTAGGTCAGTCACCACCATCTCCTGGGTCAGTCACCACCATCTCCCTGGGTCAGTCAACACCATCTCCCTGGGTCAGTCACCACCATCTCCCTGGGTCAGTCACCACCATCTTCCTGGGTCAGTCACCACCATCTCCCGGGTCAGTCAACACCATCTCCCTGGGTCAGTCACCACCATCATCTCCCCTGGGTCAGTCACCACCATCTCCCTGGGTCAGTCACCACCATCTCCCTGGGTCAGTCACCACCACCATCACCACCTCCCTGGGTCAGTCACCACCATCTCCCTGGGTCAGTCACCACCATCTCCCTGGGTCAGTCACCACCATCTCCCTGGGTCAGTCACCACCATCTCCTGGGTCAGTCACCACCATCTCCCTGGGTCAGTCACCACCATCTCCCTGGGCCAGTCACCACCATCTTCCTGGGTCAGTCACCACCATCTCCCTAGGTCAGTCACCACCATCTCCCTAGGTCAGTCACCACCATCTCCCTAGGTCAGTCACCACCATCTCCCTGGGTCAGTCACCACCATCTCCCTGGGTCAGTCACCACCATCTCCCTGGGTCAGTCACCACCATCTCCCTGGGTCAGTCACCACCATCTCCCTGGGTCAGGTCAGTCACACCACCATCTCCTTGGGTCAGTCACCACCATCTCCCTCAGTCACCACCATCTCCCCTTCAGTCATCTCCCGTGTCACCATCTCCCTGGGTCAGTCACCCACCATCTCCTGGGTCAGTCACCACCATCTCCCTGGGTCAGTCACCACCATCTCCCTAGGTCAGTCACCACCACCACGTCACCACCATCTCCCTTGTTCAGTCACCACCATCTCCTAGGTCACCACCATCTCCCTGGGTCAGTCACCACCATCTCCCCGGGTCGGTCAACACAATCTCCCTAGGTCAGTCACCACAATGTCCCTGGGTCAGTCACCACCATCTCCCTCAGTCACCACCATCTCCCCGGGTCAGTCATCACCATCTCCCTGGGTCAGTCACCACCATCTCCCTGGGTCAGTCACCACCATCTCCCTGGGTCAGTCACCACCATCTCCCTGGGTCAGTCACCACCATCTCCCGGGTCAGTCACCACCATCTCCCTGGGTCAGTCACCACCATCTCCCTGGGTCAGTCACCACCATCTCCCTGGGTCAGTCACCACCATCTCCCTGGGTCAGTCACCACCATCTCCCTGGGTCAGTCACCACCATCTTCCTGGGTCAGTCACCACCATCTCCCTAGGTCAGTCACCACCATCTCCTGGGTCAGTCACCACCATCTCCCTGGGTCAGTCACCACCACTCATCTCCCTGGGTCAGTCACCACCATCTCCCTGGATCAGTCACCACCATCTCCCTGGGTCAGTCACCACCATCTCCCTTGGTCAGTCACCACCATCCACCATCTCTCTAGGTCAATCACCATCATCTCCCTGGGTCAGTCACCACCATCTCCCTGGGTCAGTCACCACCATCTCCCTGGGTCAGTCACCACCATCTCCCTGGGTCAGTCACCACCATCTCCCTGGGTCAGTCACCACCATCTTCCTGGGTCAGTCACCACCATCTCCCTTGGTCAGTCACCACCATCTCCCTGGGTCAGTCACCACCATCTCCCTGGGTCAGTCACCACCATCTCCCTGGGTCAGTCAACACCATCTCCCTGGGTCAGTCACCACCATCTCCCTGGGTCAGTCACCACCATCTCCCTGGGTCAGTCACCAGTCATCTCCCTGGGTCAGTCACCACCATCTCCCTAGGTCAGTCACCACCATCTCCCTGGGTCCAGTCACCACCATCTCCCTGGGTCAGTCACCATCATCTCCTTGTCAGTCACGTCACCACCATCTCCTAGGTCAGTCACCACCATCTCCCTGGGTCAGTCACCATCATCTCCCTGGGTCAGTCACCACCATCTCCCTGGGTCAGTCACACCATCTCCCTGGTCAGTCACACCACCATCTCCCTGGGTCACCACCATCTCCCTGGGTCAGTCACCACCATCCATCCCTGGGTCAGTCACCACCATCTCCAGTCTCACCATCTTGGGTCAGTCACCACCATCTCCTGGGTCAGTCACCACCATCTTCCTGGGTCAGTCATTACCATCTCCCTCAGTCAGTCACCATCATCTCCCTGGGTCAGTCACCATCATCTCCCTGTGTCAGTCATCACCATCTCCCTGGGTCACCACCATCTCCCTGGGTCAGTCACCACCATCTCCCTGGGTCAGTCACCACCATCTCCCTGGGTCAGTCACCACCATCTCCCTGGGTCAGTCACCACCATCTCCCTGGGTCAGTCACCACCATCTCCCTGGGTCAGTCACCACCATCTCCTTGGGTCAGTCACCACAATCTCTCTTGATCACTATCATCTCCTTGGATCAGTCACCACCATCTCCCTGGATCA